ATACCCCGCCACACTTGCTCTGTCCTGTGTGGGTGTCTCCGATACCCCGCCACACTCACTCTGTCCTTTGTGGGTGTCTCCGATACCCCGCCACACTCACTCTGTCCTGTGTGGGTGTCTCCGATACCCCGCCTCACTCTGTCCTGTGTGGGTGTCTCCGATACCCCGCCACACTCACTGTCCTGTGTGGGTGTCTCCGATACCCCGCCACACTCACTCTGTCCTGTGTGGGTGTCTCCGATACCCGGCCACACTCGCTCTGTCCTGTGTGGGTGTCTCCGATACCCCGCCACACTCACTCTGTCCTGAGTGGGTGTCTCCGATACCCCGCCACACTCACTCTGTCCTGTGTGGGTGTCTCCGATACCCCGCCACACTCACTCTGTCCTGTGTGGGTGTTTCCGATACCCCGCCACACTTGCTCTGTCCTGTGTGGGTGTCTCCGATACCCCGCCACACTCACTGTCCTGTGTGGGTGTTTCCGATACCCCGCCACACTTGCTCTGTCCTGTGTGGGTGTCTCCGATACCCCGCCACACTTGCTCTGTCCTGTGTGGGTGTCTCCGATACCCCGCCACATTCACTCTGTCCTGTGTGGGTGTCTCCGATACCCCGCCACACTTGCTCTGTCCTGTGTGGGTGTCTCCGATACCCCGCCACACTTGCTCTGTCCTGTGTTGGTGTCTCTGATACCCCGCCACATTCACTCTGTCCTGTGTGGGTGTCTCCGATACCCCGCCACACTTGCTCTGTCCTGTGTGGGTGTCTCCGATACCCCGCCACACTTGCTCTGTCCTGTGTGGGTGTCTCCGATACCCCGCCACACTCACTCTGTCCTGTGTGGGTGTCTCCAATACCCCGCCACATTCACTCTGTCCTGTGTGGGTGTCTCCGATACCCCGCCACATTCACTCTGTCCTGTGTGGGTGTCTCCGATACCCCGCCACACTTGCTCTGTCCTGTGTGGGTGTCTCCGATACCCCGCCACACTTGCTCTGTCCTGTGTGGGTGTCTCCGATACCCCGCCACATTCACTCTGTCCTGTGTGGGTGTCTCCGATACCCCGCCACACTTGCTCTGTCCTGTGTGGGTGTCTCCGATACCCCGCCACACTTGCTCTGTCCTGTGTGGGTGTCTCCGATACCCCGCCACATTCACTCTGTCCTGTGTGGGTGTCTCCGATACCCCGCCACACTTGCTCTGTCCTGTGTGGGTGTCTCCGATACCCCGCCACACTTGCTCTGTCCTGTGTGGGTGTCTCCGATACCCCGCCACACTTGCTCTGTCCTGTGTGGGTGTCTCCGATACCCCGCCACATTCACTCTGTCCTGTGTGGGTGTCTCCGATACCCCGCCACACTTGCTCTGTCCTGTGTGGGTGTCTCCGATACCCCGCCACACTTGCTCTGTCCTGTGTGGGTGTCTCCGATACCCCGCCACACTCACTCTGTCCTGTGTGGGTGTCTCCAATACCCCGCCACATTCACTCTGTCCTGTGTGGGTGTCTCCGATACCCTGCCACATTCACTCTGTCCTGTGTCGGTGTCTCCGATACCCCGCCACACTTGCTCTGTCCTGTGTGGGTGTCTCCGATACCCCGCCACACTTGCTCTGTCCTGTGTGGGTGTCTCCGATACCCCGCCACTTTCACTCTGTCCTGTGTGGGTGTCTCCGATACCCCGCCACACTTGCTCTGTCCTGTGTGGGTGTCTCCGATACCCCGCCACACTTGCTCTGTCCTGTGTGGGTGTCTCCGATACCCCGCCACATTCACTCTGTCCTGTGTGGGTGTCTCCGATACCCCGCCACATTCACTCTGTCCTGTGTGGGTGTCTCCGATACCCCGCCACACTTGCTCTGTCCTGTGTGGGTGTCTCCGATACCCCCCAGCACCTGCCATATACAGTATTACGAGCTCAAAATGACACGTTACAGACACAATTCATAAAAATACCTGCCAAATAATTTTATCAAAGAAAATAAAATCAACCAATAGTCATGTATTAAAATACTTTAAACATTTTTGTAGATATGTCACAGCTCGTACAAACACTTCCATGATCCCACTGATGACTCAGCACACCTTTCTATAGACAACAGCAATCCCCAAGCAAGCGGTGGAGTCATATGTAGTAATGCTGTGGTAGCCCCCTACATTCCAACTCTAAACATAGTCAGCCCAGTCCTTTGTGGTACCTGTAGGTTGCCTTGTATGGCTGTGGGAGGCATGTTCCTTACTAAGCAGCGGTCTAGCATTATTCAGGTGTAAGTTCACTGAGAGCTACTATACATGATAGCACCAAGGATATACTGTACAGACCTTAGCTGGTAAGCAGCCGTGTTTCTTTCTATAGGGAGATTCATATTTTCTTTGACAGCTGTAAATTTGAGATAAATTGATATCATATTTTGGTTTCTCGACAACAGTTAATTTGGTTTCTAGTTTCAGGGGTTTGATTCAGGGGTATATAGGTAACGTTGAAGGTGACTCATATTTTCTGAGACAGCTTTGAGAACTAAGAGTGTTTCATTTGTTGTTGGACAACCTTGAAATATTGGATTTCATATCTGGTCCTACTTTCAGGACAACCAGTTCTTGTTCATATCTCAGAGGACAGCCTCATTTGACCACTGATAGTTCATAAATCTTAGGATAGCTTTGACAGTTAAAAGTACTTGGTTCTACTGAGGACAACTTTAAGAAGTGAGCACATTGGTTCATATACTGATTGAAATGAATAAGGGAACAATGAAAAATATAGGGAAATAAGCTTTACCATCAGTACATTTGAAATAGCAAGCATACAAATTCAACACGTCAGAATTAAAAGTTGAGATGTGTTTGTGTGCGTTGTTTCAATCACGTATTTGGCTGGGAACCCATGATAGCATATCATTTTACTGTGTCTAAGTCTTTACTAAGTGTTCCCTGATTCATTTCCATCAGTATATTTGGTTCATATGTTATATTGGTTCCTATTGGCTGATAATGTTAATGTTTGTAGTTGCTGCTCTGGTGCTGTTAGGCGTACTCGTGTGTAATAGCTGCTCCCAGGCATAGATGTTGTCTTCAGATGCCACACCTTTGTAGATGCCATCTATATATCTACTTCATCATTATCTAATAATGGGCTAAGTAAAGAACACGATGCATCATATCAGTGTGGGGTCGACAGTCTTTTGATTGAGGCTTTTTCCACAGAATTTCTGCAAGTCTGCTGCAAGTACAGTACTTAAGAGACATTGCATATTGCCTTGTACATTCCACGCTCCTGATGCTTACAATACACCAAGGTAGCTTGAGCTGTATACTCCCCAGGGTGCTGAGAATGATTGTTAGTGCACACTGATCCATTGACGGGTAATAATAGTGTAGCGCTCTGAGCATATCTAGTGGGGTGTGGAAATATAGTGCAATATGTATGACTTATCATTATTATTGTTATTGTTGTTGTTCTAGAGCCTCACAGGCAGCTTGGGTTGTATACTCCCCAGGGAGCTGAGAATGGAAAGGTGCACACTGATCCACTGACCGGGGTCATAATGTAGTGCTTTGAGCACCCTTTAGGGCATTGATTTGGTGCAGTAGAAACATGCACATTACATTTTATTAAATCCAACTCAGACACATAAAATTTCCTAGCTGTCTATTCCTTATGAGACAGAAAAATATGATCTATCACTTATCAGATGGCATCTGCATGTAGCATTATTACTGATTTTCACACAAATCGTAAGCTGAAGATATTGAATGATATGCACCCGAGGAAGACATTTGGCAAATAGTCTGCAAATATGGCAATATTCAGATGAGTGCTCTGTATCAATTGCTTGTTTACAGTAATGTCCCGTGTGTTACACATCCAAATCTACTGAGTGAAAGGGTCATATTAACTGTTGACCAAGTGATCATACATCACCAATAGCATTCATTTCTATGTGCTGTGTATGACGAATGTACCGTTCTTCTCATCATTGGCTGAGAAATTAGCTTATCTATTATTTGGAGTAGATCTGTATGAGATAATTCTGACAGAAATGGAATATATGCTCCGGCAGATGTGGTGTGAGTCAGCAGCATAGATTATTTGCCACCAGTCTTTCATTTATTGCAGTGTTACGACTCAACTCTGTTGACTTGATGTAAGTTAATGAGTTATGGCTACACATGAGTGTGTCAGGGAGTTGAGTTTAACAGTTTTGGACAGCTTGAAAGTAAAAAATCACGACATGGATGTATACTACTTTGGTGAAACCCACGAGCTTGGGCATGGTGCTGACAGATGAAGAGCCATTATAGGGGCAAACTAATATTCAAACCTGTGATCAGTGGATCCTGGCTCAACAAAGGGATGTGACTCTTCAGAGAGAATTGGGTGCTTTCAACCACGGACTTCCCAATAAGTTATTGAACAGACAGCCCCAGATAAATTGTTATGTATTTCAGTCATTATATTTTCGTTTAAACCTGGTATAATAGCCTGCAAAGGAGTGACTGAGTTTCAAATATGTATTTGATATCCCAATTGTAATCATGGTTGCTGTTGTGGTAAAGTTGCATCTGTTGTGATCACAGATTCAAGTCTTGCCTAAGGAAGTGTTTAAAGCTCTCGTGTTACTCATCTTTTTGCAGTCTCTTCACAGTTTAATACGAGTTAGTTTTTAATGTAGACAGGGACTTAACATGTGCTAATGACATTAACTGTGTGTTGTGTCAGAAAGAAATGGTTTGCTCCCGGATTTCAACTTTTTGACATTTCAGGCTTTTAAAACCCCAGCTTGTTTAGCCTGACCTTCGAGGCTACACATGATCAGTTGGTACATTGTCAGCTTTGTGTGATGTCGCTTCAGTCAGCTGCCACAGTCTTGATTCACCAGAAGGATGTCAGCTGATATAGACCCAACCTGTTCCTTATTGGGTTTGTAAGCTCCATTGGTAGCTTGTTCTCCTAAATTAAGAGTTTGTTTTACGAGTTCTTAAGTTTGTGTTTTGTGTTTCAGAGTCAGAATTGAGGACTAATTCAGATAGTCAAAATCACTGGGAGTTAGTTGACAATCAGAACCAGAATCCAGACGTCGGATGGACAGGCCGACCAAACAAAGTCAACCTGTACAGTGAGAACGTTGTGCAGGAGGCCAACACAACAGAGGAAGTCAACCGGGAGTCAATCCGTGACTTGTCATCAACCAGACAACAGTGGGAGACGATATTGTCCCCTGTTGCTGAAAAGACTGAATCACAGAAAAAAGCAACTGTTCGACACTGGGAGGTGAATTTCCCAAATAAAAGGAAGTCTGTGAGCATAGAAGCTGATAAAGTGGACGTTTCCTTCACCAGCATGGAGGACACACAGGATAGGTATGCTAATGAAAGTGCCATCGAGCGGGAGATTCGGTTGAACATGGAGCGCGAGGAGACACTCCGGAGGGAACAGGAAGAAAGGAAACTGCTAAGTGAAAAGGGCAAGGTCGATACAACGATGTATGAAAGTGTGCCAAAGGATGAGACGAAGCCGATGTTTCACGAGTTGACAGAAGCAGATCGCGGCTCGGAGATGTGTAAGAGGGAGACCATCATCCAGCAGGAGCTCCGGGAACAAGAGGAAAAGGAGAGGGCTCTGAGGAAAAACCATCACGTTGAGAATTCTAGACAGGTGAGTGATGTGGAATGCTTTAACATTTACAAATTATATCTGTATTTTCAAAATAAAGAAAGGGTCACATGACCTTCTTTAGAACACAGTATTGCCTCGGTGATTAAGCCAATTGATATAAAGGAGAAAAATATTTTCAGCCAATCAGTGAGAGCGTTACGCAAAGCTTGTTGTAAAGCAGCATCAGTTATTAAAAACTCATATTGAAATTTTCTTGTTTTACATATTTTGTGATAAAACAATTATTGCCCACAACTAGGGCAATATCATGTTTCATGGATTGAAGAAACTGATATCGACCTTGGCTGCTATCCTTGGTCAGTATCAGTTTCTAAGATCCATAAGACATGATACGTCCATGATGACCTTATGAATGGTCAATAATAAATAAATATATACTGCATGAGTTTGTTGCACTGAAGCTACACAATTACCCCAGACAGCAGCCTTCTAATTTAGACTTGGTTCCCAAATATACTACCCAAGTTGCTGTTTGATGCTGGAATGTTTCTATTTTCTTGACCATCTTATTTGACCAGGTACCATCCATTGGTGGGTGAAGAGTGGCGAGTTTCTAACAAAGTTTAGCCTAAAGAGACCTTGCATGAGTTATAACCTGTTGAGGCAGAACTGATAGCCTAGAAACTCTCTTGAGACAAACGTGCTGAGTAGGGTTCCCTGTGCATACACCAGCATTGCTTAACTTCCTCTGATTTGTGATTTACCCTGGGTGTGTAGTCAACATGGGATATAGCAAAATCAGATCACAAACATAATTTAATTCCTAAGAGTGTATCTGGTAACAAGCGTTAATGTTCTTTTGCACGTGATCTGTATATAGAATAAACTTTTATACAGAGTTGACAAAATGTTGGCTCATGTTTTCCCTAAAGCAAACTTAGCACTGTGCCTTCAATTGTTGTTCATTACTATGTATGAAGGGCGGTGGGGTAGCCTAGTGGTTAAAGCATTCGCTTGTCACACCAAAGACCTGGGTTCAATTCCCCACATGGGTACAATGTGTGAAGCCCATTTCTAGCGTCCCCTGCAGTGATATTGCTGAAATATTGCTAAAAGCAGCGTAAAACCAAATTCGCTCACTACTTCCTATGAATGGGTTTATTCTTTTTGCAAAGAATTATGTTTAAAGAATTAACATTTATCATTTATCAAAACATACATATGAGGTTTCTCATTAATTTCTCGGTGACCTTGACATGGCTGAAAACTAGAGCCATATCCAAGGTGCAGGTTTGACATCTCGTTGACAAACTGTCTCTTTCATTGTAGAGCAGGGATTGTTTTTGTGACAACAAGACTTAAATTAGCATGTACTGCCATTTGGAAAGTGATGGTCCTATTTCCTAACCTGAATAGATGGAGTTCATTTCAAGGGCATTATTCATGCCGTGACGTTTTGCAGGTCAATCTTCCAATTTACCATTTTCAATAAGATCATATTGTCTTGAGGTTGATCAAGATTAAACAAACTCAATTCATGTTTTGAAATTTAACATTTCACAAAGACCCATTATTTATTTCCTCCCTAAATATTTGTGGATTTAAACAAATATCAAAAGCTCCCCAAATGATGTAGCTTTATTGACATAAGGCCCATTTTTTATACTTTCATTATAACTCAGATTATGACTGCATCAGATTCACAATGAACAATACCAATGGAATTCTTGGACTACATTAGAAATAGTTTAACATCCCGACAACATCCTGGTAGCGTGTGATGTTAAGCATGCTGGTCATAACAATACAGTATCTACCGTGTTTAAAGGAACGTCTAACATGTAACTGTAACCTAGGCGTTCTCACAAGTTGATGTTAGCTAGGCCCTGAGTCGACAGCAAATTGGGATAAAAAAATCAAATTGGATTTAAAATTTCCAAATTTTAGTTATTATAACTAATGTTTTAACTTTCCAATGGTGACTTGCTTGTCACTGTTCACAGGACCAACACAGAGAATAATGTAATAGTTTTGTATTGTAGCATTGCAGTACCTCTGAACTTTCGAACATACAAACTTTAATTAGTACTCATTTTGCACAGAATAATTATTATTGTCCCAATTTGATTGCCATGGTACTTAGGTTAAAATATGATTAAAGCTGATTAAAAAAAGTATAATACAAATGTTAATCTAATATTTTTTAAAATAGAATTTGAAATGTGAAAACCTTTTGATATATAAAAGGAGTTTCACATATTCTTGAAAATCCTTCAGCCATGCTTGGTGCATGATCTACAAGGGAGGCTCGTCACGATATTGCTGAAATATTGCCGATGTGACATAAAGCATTAACTCACTCACACTCACAAAGGAAGCACTACCTCTACATCATATTTGTATCTGATGGTTGGAGTTGGATCACATTTTCTTCCTGAAAAGCTAACATATTTATTCTCAGAAATGAAAACACAGGCTAGTTGATATGTCGCTACAAAAGAACATGGTGTATGTCAAAGGACTCCAAAATGTCTCTGCTTGAAATTTAGAAAAAGATAAAATATTTGGCAGTTTACGCCAAACTGTATGACACCTTTAAGTAAATTCATTATGATGGAAGATCTTAGAGAACATGGCCACTGTCACTTGTGTGTGAAATATCCTTCATCGCGCTGAAAGTTAACCAACAAAGACAAACTAATGATCCTAGACTTTGAAGAAATAGGCGTCGGGGATATAAAAAAGTTGTTTAAACAACAGACAAATACCCAAGGGTTCTGGAGTTTGAAGGGAGACTCTGATGAGAATGCAGACAGAGTTTACACTGTGCAATCTTGCACACTCACGACATGTGTCCCTCATGTTATTGGCCAATGTTATATGGCGTTGGATATTAGAATTACTGATGTTTACCTAGCATGTTTAAGTTTATTTTATGGGCATTTTGTAACTGCCTTTCATAGTTTGATCATAGTAAGTATGTGGAGAACTTGATGACAAATTACTGGATTACACAGACTTTCTTAATTGGCAACATTCTGTTTGGTGATATGGCTGCATTATCTTACCATGGTTTTCATGTAAGGACAAAAATATCAACCTGACAATGTTGTAGAGAAAGATCAAACGTTTAGAAATTTAATGTTGCTCAGATGATTTCTGTTTGACTGTTTGTATATTTTTAAAAATATTATACTTTTTATTAAATTTTCAATAATTATTTTGCAATCCAAACAAACAATATAGATCTAGTGATTTTTAAGAAGATCAACATGTAATTATACTGAACAGAAAAGTTAGGGATCATGAATATTTTTGGGATATTTTTTGTAATGAACTATTATGAAGACTGAGCTCACAATTTCATAAAAATATCCCCCAAAATACTTTTTTAGTTCAGTATGCTAAGTAGATAATGTTATCAATCCAAGTGTCACTGTATATGCGAGCACATGCATGCTACTGAAATAGACAAGCATTAAGTTCAGTCCTGAATGCTGCATCACATCCCTAGTGGCTGACATGCTGCCTGCAATCTGCCTATTGACATGCATGTCGCTTTCCTCCGCTTACACTGCCAGGTCGCTAGGAAAGTCGGGAATGCTTTGTGGAAATTGGGACATCCAGGACAAGTTTATTCTGCCATTTGTAAACCAAGATAAACATTATCATGGCAGATGTCTGTTAGTCTTCATTGAAGTCAATAGCTAATCAAATAAGCATCTTATCAATGTGTCATTCAGATCAGATGTTGGGTTCACAGTTTTTCAGGTCTTGTGTAGATTGCAAGGTCAGGCAGGTGTAGTATAGTGGTCAGTTGTACTGGCCAGAGGAAACTGGGAGTGTTCTGACATTCATACAACCATTTTTTCAAGCCAACATTAGTGATTAATAACCAGTTTTCATGGTAAGGAAAAATATGATACCAACATATGGTAGGAAAAGATAAGAACCTGTAGGTTTCGATAATGTTGTGTAAGACAGTATTTGATAGAGTGCTGATGACTGTTCTTCCTCAAGATATTGTGTAATATTTTAAAGTGACATTTTACAAGCTGCAGTATCATTGAAGTGAGAGATGACATGGATTTCAACTTCTTTATTGTTCCAATGTAACATTGGTACAGGTGCTAGTACCTTTATGAAGCAAGTGGTTGATAAAGGTACTAACACCTCATAAAGAAGAGGAAGTCCATCAGTCATCGTTGTATTTGGGAGACACTGACCCAGGTTTTGTTCTTACAGGAGTCAAGAACTAATGGTGTAGCAGAGGAAACAAGGGAGAGCATCATCGAGAAGGAGATCCGAATACAGCGCGAGAGGGAGGCAGAGCTTCAGCAACAGAGGAAGGGGAAGACAGTTGAACAGCCTGCATCACCACCAGAACCTGAGCAGAATCATAAACAAGTCGAGCCACAGAACGATATTAACCATAATCAGACAAAGAGTGTTTCGTATGAGAAGGCAATTTCAAGTTACAGTCATGATGGTGAGAGTCTTATTGCTCGCGAGTTGAGAGAAGCAAGGGAACGGGAGGATGAACTGCAACAGCAGAGGTCACGACTTCATCAACAGAGTGATGTTGCAACACCTACAAAACAGCAGCAGTCACAGCCAACACCAGCATCTAAAACAACCCCAAAAGTTTCCAACTCCTCCCCTGCAGCACGCCAGGGGACATGGCAAAAAGACGTTTCACCATTCCTTCAAAAATCTAAACGTAGTGGTTCTGTAGACTCACTGGCTTCTAGTCACAGCACTGGCAAATCACCGTCTGATTTGGGCACGCAAAATCAGGAAGAAGATGAGTTTCCAGCATACAAGCCCAAATCTGAAACACCAATCGAACGGGAGATTCGTCTTGTCCGTGAGCGGGAGAATGAACTCAGACGATCAAAAGGTCTTCCTGATCTCCCTGATCCCAAAGCAGAGCATAGAAGTGGTCCCCCTCTGTCTCTGTCCTCGCCCTCTACCGAGCACTCTCCACGGTACTTTCGGTCCCCCTTGGAGAACAAGAACACCATGAAGCGCTACTCCTCCAACAGACTCCAGCAGGAGATCATCAAGCAGAATCAGAGGGAGATGGATCTGCGCAGTGAGGGGAAGATCATCACCACGTCCGAGGAACACATCCAGCCACTCAAGTATGTGGCTGTCACGGGACAGGAAACTACCAATGCCAATGTTAAGAAGAACTTTGTGACTAGGAAGTCGTCTGGAGGGTACACTCCAACAAAGTCGGATGAAGTGGACGGTGCTGTTAGTGATAGCCAAGCTAAGACAACCCCCAAGGCTGAGCTTCTGAAGTCAAGGAAGGTGATGTCAGCGGGTGGAGCAGGCTTTTCGTACAAAGAGAGTCGGAATACAGCCGAGTCAAAGATCGAGAGAGAGCTGAGGGAAATGAGAGAGAGGGAGGATGAACTGAGGTAGGTCACATTTTGTGTTGATGATAAGATTGGTGATCACTTCAACAAATATGTAGAGATTAGACAGCAAACTCTCCTCATTCATGTCTTATTGGTTCATGAAGTTTATGAAATTGGTGTTTGTGGAAATAGGATTTCAAGGTCGTGTTTTTGTTATTTTGTTACTACAACAGTTAAGTCACTCCTAAAGTATATAAAAATGTCAGATACGTTGCTGAATATTGTGATGTGAATGAGGTGAGGTTTGACCTGGTGTTGTGATCTGGTGTAGAGGTGCACTCCAGTGGTTCACTGCTGGTCATGCTTGTGTGTCATCTTACTCCACCTACATTTCATTGTCAAACTATAGGCCACTTTCCTCCATCTATAATATAACTTTGTGTCACTTAGACATGGTGGTCAAAGAAAAACTGATTTCCTGAATTACTGTTAGATTTTCATTTGAATGAAAGGATTACTGACACTTGTCACAAGCACTTAAAAAGAAATTCATTCAGAAAAACATTTTTCAAAGAAAACTGCAAATTATGTATACTGAGTGTGCGAGATAAGATAAGTTTTAATTTTATTCTCTGATCACATTGTAAGCTCAGTTTCCTACACAGCTGTAGAATTGGCTAACATGGGTCATAATCAGCCTCACAAGCCTTGAAAGGTAGATAGGAAAGTGTAAATATTCGCTCTCAAAGGAAGGCATGATTGTATACCAGCATGATGACTGGTTTGGCTGTACTGTGCACATACATTAGGAATCTCGTCTGGCAACTTCTAACGTCTATATAAGGTAACCTGTTCACATTGCAACAGCAGGTCATCATCAGGTGACCCATGGTAGCGTGTCACGAATTACAATCTCTTCTCTATGGCACAATATTTACTCAGATTGAGTTATGAGACCGTAGCAAATACAGTGGAGAAAGTAGAGCTCACAAAAAGCCCATTGACAAAACGTTGTTGATATAAAGGCTTATGAAGCTCAATGTTGGGGAAGACTATTAAGTGTACATTGGTGCTAATTGGGAAAACTTGTGTGGTTTTTGACACTTTGATGCCACAGAGCTTTACAATATGGAATATGTCAAAGTTTCTGTCAAAGTCCAGCCATTGCTATTGAGAGGTTGTCGCCAGGTATTTACCTGGGTCTGTCTATTTGTGAGCTCTGGGACTCCTGGGAATACTGTGTCCCAATATGAACATATTATTCACAATTGCAATTTCTTTGAGCCCTGTACTATTTATAAAAAGTGATTTTCTTGTTTGAAAAAAAATCAGGGATTGAGAGAAGAAAATCAGAAATGGACATAATGCAATTTGTTTTTCTTGTGAGAAGAGAACAATAAGTGGAATGTACTAACAAAACAATTTAGGGATCATTAATATTTTGGGGGATATTGTTTTGTAGTGAAGACTCAGCAGTCAATTTTATAAGAATATCCCCCCAAATATTCATGATCCCTAACTTCTTTGTGTAGTATATAACATGCATGCTACAGCTGAACTTACTGATTCAATAAACCATAGTTTTGCATTGCCTGAGATTCACTGTACATAATACATAGTCCAAAGATTGAATCTAGATTAAACCACCAAGACGAGTAAAAATATGTACAAAGGTTAGTCTTGAGCAGTAAATGGATTATTTCCAAAATATGTTAAAAAGTAGATATTATCACCTTTCCCACGTTAATTTTATACATGCTGCCTTTGAGTTTTAAGAAATAAGAAAACACATTGCACAAAACATGGCAATTTTGTACAAGAAGATGAACTGCCAGTTTTCTTCATCCTTGAGTATGTGAGTGGGTGAGTGAATGTTTCTTAGGCATGAACTTTGGAGGAAAATCTAACATATCGCATCTCTCACACTGAAACATGTTTGGGGGTAGTTGCAGTTTGGAAAATGTACTTGCTCAAGAGTTTTGTTTGAAATTGTTTTATTCTTACTGACAGTGGATAAAACTGTTGTATGTCACTCTAAGACCATGAAATAATGACAGACTTCTCTCGGATGGTTGCCCCAGATATATGATGACATCATATCATCAACAAACATATCGTATGTTTCAGGAAACAGAGGGCCACACCAGGGGATGAAGAAGGCCCCAGCAGTCCAAGGGAGGCAACTCCGAATGGGAAGTCTGACGGAGAACAATCTTCAAACAAGAAAGGGAACGTAGCTGCTCAGTGGGAACAGATATGTAACAACTGATCAATAGATGAACAATCGAGGAACAATCGCAGAACAATTCAGGAGTAATAATTGTGGAGAGTATTAGTACTGGAGAAAGGACAATGATGGTGAAAGTCAGAGATTAAGAAATATAATTTCAAATAAGAGAAACTGTTAAAACTGACAAAATTCATCCGATTTATTGCAATATTGTTTTCAAATTAAGGGTGACGGTTGGAAAAGTGTATCCAAAATATGAATATAATTCAGACAAGATTTTTGGAAACGTAGCTGTAGAATTAAGCAAAACACATCAACAACTTTCAAATCCTGGGGTTGTACCACATTCCCTTTAGACATTGTTCCATGGTGCTATAGCCTGAGGCTCGACAGTAGCGAATTACAGTAGCGGCTTGTACATACAGTGATGATGCAGACTGACGATGCTGTCAGAGCTAGAAATGCGTTGACGGTGCGTAGTGCAGCTATGGCGTAGATGAAGAAGCATATATTCAGAGTATGTATGAAACTGTAGGGGACCTTCTTGGAAGACTGGGATCTGAAATGTACAAACTTTGCCAAAAGCATATATATTTCATTATATTATACAGGCAATGTATGTTGGTCAATCAAAATACTGCATCATCCTGCATCGTGGTGATCAATCATCAGAGCTGTCTAACATGAACAAATGTACATATCATTGTAGATATCGCGTTGAGCTTGCTTTGTATGCAAAGGCCAATAATAATATATTCTGTGACCGTAGTAGGTGTGTACATTTACCTGAATGTAATATACATGTGGAACTGTCAATATCTGTCCGTCTCTGAAGCGTTGATGAGGGATATTGGAAATGTTGTGGTCAAACGCACCTGTTGACCAGTAGCTGGTAATTGACTGGTGCTACACATGCTTTCCTGAAAATCTGCACACAGACTTACCTGAAATTTATCAAAAACTAGAAATATCCAATTACATTCTGGCACTCAGGCCTAGTCTAGTAACATTTATTTTGGTTTAAACAAAAGGCCATAGTGTAGTGTCTGTTTGTTGTTAACGCTGCACTCAACAATATTCCAGCTATATGATGGCAGTCTGTGGATAATCGAGTCTGGACCAGACAATCCAGTGATTGATATCATGAGCATCGATTCATGCAGTTGGGATGCAATCGATGCATCAACCAAGTCGGCGAGCCTGACCACTGATCCTCTTAATCACTTTTTACAGCAAGCATAGGTTGCTGAAGAACGATTCTAACCTGGATCTTCATGGTTCCATTAAGGCTATCTGGTGCAAAGGTTTTCAGCATGAACTGTAATAAATGCAGGTGTGTGTGTACATGTATTTAATCACAGGTACATACTGCAGAGTGAGTTAGTCATCTGCATCTGACTCAGGTACCTGTTTCTTTGCTTTTATACCAAATTGTTGTTAGAACAAAAGTATACATATACGTTTATGTATGATGTTGAATTTGAACAAGAATCTACAGCCAATGAACGTGATACATTGTACATGACTACTCGTACCAGTGTTTCCCCACATAATCGCACTCCATTCTGTACAACTCGAGGCAGCCACTCCATGTTTCATTGCAACTTTAATCAAATCCACAGCACGCGTTATGTAATTCCTTGTTATACTTCGAGAAATTGATAAAATGATAAAAATATCTGAAATGTGTTCTTTCATACATTTTGTCATATACTGAGGTTCAATCAGGATTCATCAGCAAGTCTTCCAGAACACCTGGTGTCAGGTCAAGAAAGGTGTATTCATATTGAAATGTGAGACAGTTTCATCAAGCTGCTTTTGATTTTGATTCTGAAAATATTTTTAAGCATTACTACTATACTATTGAAATATACCTTTAGCCATCAAATATATGAAATATCAAGTATTTATTCATCTCCAATTGGGCAACTGCACAAATATAGTTGTATATGAAACATATGGCTGAAACTTCCCCACAAAACCCTGGTCAGTGCCAAGTGCCGGTGTTTCAGGGCAGTGTGACGGTGGAAAGAATGCATGTACAGCCATACTAACATGTTAATTGTTTGAACATAGCTGTTTGAACTAATTCTTATTTGAATGTTAAATTTATGGATATTTATGTTTATGAAAACTGGCATGACTACTTCAAGAATGAATAAATTTATTTGAAATGTGTGGTTTATACATGTCACACATTATAAATTTTCATAAAGTTGTGAGTAGCTATTCGAGAAGGTATCCCAGTAAATATTTATGGTACTGTTTTGTCAGATATTGACATATTTGTTAAGGATAAAATCTTCAAATTTTCATCCATGTATGTGATTAATACCAAAGCCAATCCATCCTGTCTGTACTGTGTGGTTTAATTGTTGTCCTAAACTGATTAGTGTTAATCATCAGCTTGCCAGATTGAGCATTTACGTGTACATTTAAAATTGATTGAGTGCTTTGCATACGTTTGTTATACTGTTGTACAGAGTCCTTGGCACCCATTCATCTGACAACATGTACCGAGCAATGTCCATGTGTCAAGACTATGCAGATACAGCCTTGGACATTGACTTGTCAATCATTGTGATACCTTTACACATGCTTGGAATATATTGTGCATAAAGTTTAATACCTTTTTTAAATTTGAATTTCTCATACCAAGACCGAATATTCCCTAGTGTGCTTGTACATATTTAAGGTAAATAATTATTTGGAACTTTTTGATAGCTATTGTAGAGGTTAAATAATGTAGAATTGTATACAGAAAATTGTGAACATTTGCCTCAGTATCTCCAGATTTGTAACAGCTTAATATATATACATATGCAACATCATTAATCATTTGTTAGAAAAAGATTCAGATATGACTCCAAAATGTGAATATCTTAAAAAAGATATTGAGCAAATAATATTTTTTTACTATATATCAAAGCTACTGGTGGTAGGGACATTCTGTTTACAAATCCGAGAATGTCTTTGTGTTTCATACGCCTTCATACAGTCTCAGAAGCCTGCATTAATCAAGAACTGCAATGAGAAAAAAGCTCCAGCAGAACAGGAGTCAAACATAGTTGAAGTTGTTCATAGTTTTGTTTGTTTCCATCTCAAGTTGTTGCATCATAGTGTCCTATGGAGTTATTGAAGGAAAATAATGTACAACTGTTTCGGTATGACCATAGCCCTAGTGTGCCTTACCCAGCTTAGAATGTACATACTTCTATATGACCGTGCAATGAGTTGCCAATACCCAGATATTACATGTATACACCATATTGTGACGACATATCATTTCTATTCAGATCTGTTGTTACATCACACATATAATCATCTTGATGTCTCAAGCAATAAATATGCATTATATTGACATATTCCTTGTGTGTTGTTTTATGTTACATTCTGGAGCGGTCGCGTATCCTAGTGGTTAAAGTGTTCGCTCATCATGCCGAAGACCCGGGTTCAATTCCCGACATGTGTACAATGTGTGAAGCCCATTTCTAGTGTGCCCCACCGTGATATTGCTGGAATATTGCTAAAAGCGGCGTAAAACCATACTCACTGACACTGACTTATGTCAGATTCTACATGACTTGGATAATCAGAGATTACAAATTGAACAGCAAAAGGCCGGGGGTTTGATCTCCGGTGGCGTCATACCAAAAGACAGAACATTTTGTTACCCTGCCTTGCATTGAGGACTGGTCTGCTCAGAATCAGTATACTGTGTATGAGTGGGGTATTCATGTTAAATTGGGACTTGGTACTTGAATGGGCTAGCACTATAGAACCAGTGTTAGTCCAGAGTAGTACAAGCAGACACTAGAGCTAGGACCAGTCCAGATTAACTACCCGGGTACCCACACCGTACCCCTATTCCCCGACCCTACCTGGGTACCCACTGTTGGTTTCAAAAGATAGGTACAAAATGTCTGATTGGGAATAGTTGACTGTAGCCCTGGCAAAATTTATTTAGATACACATATTTATAAAACGATCTAGTCATGCATACACTGAAGTTGACTCAAGTTTCATCTTTATTCAAACATAAATAAGTCATGAAGAAATATGAACATAAGTGACTTGAGTAACCATGTAGTTATAGTGATTTTTGGTCATGAAACAATATATCACGTGACTGACCATGGCTCCGGCTAGTCCTGTGGGTACCCGGGTCCTACTCAGTACCCACCCAGCCCGAGTATCCGAGTTACCCGTCCCAGCCCTAGAAGACACACATGCATGCACATCGCTATATAAGTGCAATGATGTTAAAGAACTACCTCAGTGTATATGAATATTGAGCTGCTGCTGCTATTTGTTGTCAGATCCTTTCAGAGTTGAAGTCAAACCAACACATCGCACATAAGTAAAGTTGGCGCGTCTTGTGAAGACCTGATTTGAACTCTCCACATGGCACAGTGTGAAGCTCATGACCTGTCCATGACCTGTCCATGACCTGTCCATGCCAGCCTGAGATAGAGCTGGAAGCAGTGCAGACTCCCCACTGACACCAACAATCTCCGATGTAATAACATAAACCCTGGGTCTGTGTTTTCAATCAGTATTCACCAATTCAGACTGTCACCCATGTGTACTGTCTTTAACAAAATAAGTTAGGGATCATGAATATTTTAGGAGACAAATTTTTAAGTGAAAACTGAGCACAGAATGTCATAAAAATATCCCCCAGTATATTTATGATCCCTAATATTATTTTTTTTAGTATATAAACACTGTAGCCATAGGAAGAATTCATAGTTTATTTGCATTATGTAGACCATCAATTGTACACTTTTTACAAAAGAAATGTATAAAATACAAATGTTCCACACATGTTGAAGTTATAACAGTTTATGGATCCTATTCAAGAAAATAATTCATGATTCTACAACACAAGATAAGTAAACCACCCACAGACAGTCCGAAGGAGCACTGAGATGAATGCTATCACACAAGGTGATCAGCATCTGGAGCTGATATATACTGGAGGAAAATAAACGTCCATGTAAATTTTGGAAATATCTACATATGACACGGACAAGCATGGGATTCAAGGAAAAGCTGAGAACTGATCTGTTTTCACCAGAAACTACAGCGTACCGAGTTTGGGAAAATATGGAGATAAAAGAGATGGAATTCCAACTTTGAATGGAGTATCACATGCCTGCATCAATTTCATTTTGATAAATGTCTGAGATATCACAAATACCTGGTGAAAAGTTGGTACACAAACAAGCTTTCACCTGATGCTCGCAGGTAGGGAGTCTTATTTAAAAAATCAGGGGAAGAAGTAGAAGGGTTCTCAAATTATTTCCATTTGAGTATGTAAAGAAAAATACACGTGTTTCATCACACGATAATACTGGATATAAGAAGATGTGCTTAACTATTTTCCAGGTATATCAGGGGGCGGTTGGGTAGCCTTATGGTTAAAGTGTTTGCTCATCACGCCGAAGACCTGGTTTCAATTTCCCTCATGGGTACAATGTGTGAAGCCCATTTCTGGTGTCCCCCGCCGTGATATTGCTGGAATATTGCTAAAAGTGACGTAAAACCATACTCACTTACTCACTCCAGGGCTTTACCAGTTATGGTGCGGATTTGGCTACCAAGTCAGGCTTCAATCACAACCAGAATAAACCATTTATTAATTGAAGAAATTTTAAAATTACATTTTCCTTCCTATTGTCAGTCAGTGAGTGAATATTGCTTTTTGCCATGTCAGCTATCTTGCAGCTAGTCGTACCAGTCCTATTTTCAGACCTGAAAACACATTCAGTAACTAGTCAAAGCATTTTGTGGACAAAAGCACTGGACAGTATTCACCATAGTGGTATGTGATGTTAAACCAGGGGTCTGGAAACGGTCATATGCGCCAGGGAATCTCAAATGTCCGGTTTAAAATTTTGCTTACCGGACATTTAAATTTTTCTGTCCGGACATTTTTAAAAACAAATGGGGTCCAAATAATTGATGAGCGTTATCGTATCCCTTCAGCGAATTCAGGTGAATAAACAGGTATAACAAACTTGGTCAATAAAAGTATGATATTCCATATAAAACATCACTAGACATGATGAGACAGGGTCTTGAAGATAACAGATTCAGGATGACAAACCATCTTCATCAGCATGCTGTTCCGGAATATATACTCTAAGCAAAAATAACTGTAACAGATGTACTGGTAACTAAAACTAAATAATGATGATGATGATAATGATGATCATGATCATCATATGGATTTACAGACTGATCCATGTTTTACTGTGTACACAACAAACTAGGGCATTTAAACATGTTCCTTTCCCTTTCAAATTGAATGTACCCCTATAGTGAGGAACATTTCTGATGGGCAGTGAAAAAAAGAGGCATATCAATATAACGTATGTAAAGATCACAAACATTGCTGGAAATATTTTGGGTTCACCACGTAAATCAGCTTCAATGATCCCTAGGCTGTTGCCGGTCAGGATAGTCTGGACTGTTTGTTTTGAATGGTGATGTACGTCAGTTGGACGTGGGTTACATTTTTCGGACTGTTTTCTCATATTGAGATCAGGGTTAATTATCAACATGGTATAGTATACCCACTATGTGCTACAAAGAAATCTTCAAATGCAAAGAGCGTTTTGAGTTGAGTGCTTTTAAAAAATCACAACATGTGACCCACCTGGCGAAAAGGGACCTTATGGGTGCTAGAATACAATTTGTGCTGTGATATCAAAAATGATGTTTGATGTCAACTTACTTCCGTAAAAATAGAGTGCGGACTGTACAAAAATATCTTATTGTCTCTTGTTATTTCGTAACATAATAAAACATTATTTCAAAATATTGCAGCATACATGTCTACTTTCAAATAATCAGACATTATCTCTAAACTGCAATCATTACGTAAACAGTTATATGCCTGAACATGGGAGTTTGCAGGAAATGAGCCCAAATGTTTGATGCCATCTCTGTAATAAATGTGAATTGAAGCTTATGAATGGTATTTTTGTGGTCCTCAGATACTCTAGTTTTAAAATATAATAAGTCAATATGTAATTTTTCACACATAAGATCCCTTATCTCATGGTTGGTCACACATGATAAAAAGGAAATTTTTATTTTGGTGTTGAGTACGAAGATATGAAGTATCTTCTGACACTGGAATAAAACAAAATGAAACTGAGGCAAGAATCCTGCTCCGATGGTTATATTTCTCACCCAACACGTTCCTCACAAACCCAAACTCAAACTTAACGAAAATAAACATGGGAAGGAAGGTTTTCTAGCCTTCACACACAATTATCTTCTTATGATTAAAACACATTTTCATATCAAATCCTGTACAGAGAACAAAGGATAAAATAAGTTGCCTTTGCCTAGAATTTTATACTTGGGTTCAAAATTCATGTGAAAAACCCAGTTCACATAAAAAAACAAAAATTATCAGAAATACTTTCATTTATATTATATAAAAGCATGACAAACAAATGTGCATATCTGCACTCTTGCACTGTAAAATGTATATACAGACAAGAAAAAAAGCCAACAGCCTCTCTTTGTAGAACAAAAAATGTGTTCTCAAATTTCGTACAAGACACAGAAAAGCTTAAGCTCACCTGGCCGAATATTAAGCCATCTATTCCTGTATCAATGTGTCATTCATTATATTCCTAGAGCGTGTATGTTAACTTTGATCCCTGTGTATGTTGATGTCTTATGACCTCGCATCAACCCTAAAACACAGTGATGATCAAGGTTAATTGTGTTAGTTTGAGCAATGGTGTCATAAGATTGCTTACAGAATTCAAAACAAATTTTTTAAAAAGTCGCCATGGCAACAACCACCGAGTCACTGATGTATAATTGTATTACATACTATACAGCAAGTATATGCTGTGCAACGTCTTAAAGTACATTTGTTGTATACTTTTACATAGAACCATTACCATACTTCCTCTATTAGATGCTTGTGTGTCTATTAATATCGCATATGCATCTAATCTATTTAATGCTGGGACAGTGGCAACCCATTCATTACCTTACCGAATCCTAAATTCAAGAGTCCTACAAAGTTTGTTTGTTTTGTTTGTTTGTTGTTTAACCCCACACTCAGCAATATTCCAGCTATATGAGGGCAGTCTGTAAATAATTGAGTCTGGACCAGACAATCCAGTGATTGACATCATGAGCATCGATCCATGCAATTGGGATATGATGACATGCATCAACCAAGCTATTAAGTCAGCGAGCCTGACAACCCGATCCCGGAGTCCTACAAAGGGTACATTTGTAGAAAACTGTCATCATTAACCACCAACATATCAAAGTATAAAATTCAAAACTGTTATCTTGGGCATTCACGTCATCAAATGAAGGACCAGGAACCTAATAGAGGCCCAACTTCTATTTTTTGGACACAGCATATGACCGCTCGACAAATAGAGGCTGGCGTGTACTGGAGGTCCAGCATCAAATAGAGGTAGGCAGGTACTGGAGATCCTGCATCAAATAGAGGCCGGCATGTACTGGAGGTCCTGCATCAAATAGAGGCCGGCATGTAGTGGAGGTCCAGCATCAAACAGAGGCCGGCATGTACTGGAGGTCCAGCATCAAACAGAGGCCAGCATGTACTGGAGGTCCAGCATCAAACAGAGGCCGGCATGTACTGGAGGTCCAGCATCAAGTAGAGGCCGGCATGTACTGGAGATCCTGCATCAAATAGAGGCCGGCATGTACTGGAGGTCCAGGATCAAATAGAGGCCGGCGTGTACTGGAGGTCCATCATCAAACAGAGGCTGGCATGTACTGGAGGTCCAGCATCAAATAGAGGTAGGCAGGTACTGGAGATCCTGCATCAAATAGAGGCCGGCATGTACTGGAGGTCCAGCATCAAATAGAGGCCGGCATGTAGTTGAGGTCCAGCATCAAACAGAGGCCGGCATGTACTGGAGGTCCAGCATCAAACAGAGGGCCGGCATGTACTGGAGGTCCAGCATCAAACAGAGGCCGGCGTGTACTGGAGGTCCTGCATCAAATAGAGGCCGGCATGTACTGGAGGTCCAGCATCAAATAGAGGCCGGCATGTACTGGAGATCCTGCATCAAACAGAGGCAAGCATGTAGTGGAGGTCCAGCATCAAACAGAGGCCGGCATGTAGTGGAGGTCGAGCATCAAATAGAGGCCAGCCTGTACTGGAGGTCCAGCATCAAATAGAGGCCGGCGTGTACTGGAGGTCCAGCATCAAACAGAGGCCGGCATGTACTGGAGATCCTGCATCAAACAGAGGCCAGCATGTAGTGGAGGTCCAGCATCAAACAGAGGCCGGCAAGTAGTGGAGGTCGAGCATCAAATTGAGGCCAGCCTGTACTGGAGGTCCAGCATCAAATAGAGGCTGGCATGTACTGGAGGTCCAGCATCAAATAGAGGCTGGCCTGTACTGGAGGTCCAGCATCAAATAGAGGCTGGCATGTAGTTGAGGTCCAGCATCAAACAGAGGCCGGCGTGTACTGGAGGTCCAGCATCAAACAGAGGCTGGCATGTACTGGAGATCCTGCATCAAATAGAGGCTGGCATGTACTGGAGGTCCAGCATCAAACAGAGGCCGGCATGTACTGGAGGTCCAGCATCAAATAGAGGCTGGCATGTACTGGAGATCCTGCATCAAATAGAGGCCGGCATGTACTGGAGGTCCAGCATCAAATACAGGCCGGCATGTACTGGAGGTCCTGCATCAAATAGAGGCCGGCATGTACTGGAGGTCCTGCATCAAATAGAGGCCGGCATGTACTGGAGGTCCAGCATCAAATACAGGCCGGCATGTACTGGAGGTCCTGCATCAAATAGAGGCCGGCATGTACTGGAGGTCCTGCATCAAATAGAGGCCGGCATGTACTGGAGGTCCAGCATCAAATAGAGGAAATGTAATAGTAACTAGTTTTCCTTTGATGGTAATACTACAGAAGATTCAGGTGAACTTAAGAGCCCCATGCTGACATGATTATATTACATTTTCTACAGATATGTACAGTCCTGAGAGCTAGACTTATATTTTATTGAACACATCATACAGAGTCAATGGCTATGGTCATAGCACTAGTCAATATCAATGAAACTCAATCGCACATGAAATATTGCAACTACTGATATTCTGTCTGTAACTACACATACTATGCTATTCTTGAGAACTGAAGGGGCAGATACTTCCCACAGATGGTAAGAAAATGACAGGCATCCAAGCCATCACTGCTAGAAATATAGGGGCACAAACAGAAATATCTAGGGGAAATATAGGGGAAATTCTGAAAAAGGGTTTTATCGGAACTTTCTTTAATTTTTACAACTACAGACACAGCTGTATAATGAAAGTTTGGACTTACCCAGAACCAGGTTTTATAGCATACATTTCTCTGCACTGGAAACATCCTTATGGGCAATATCAGTCAATTCAAGTCCTAACCAGTTCTAATCTTGCTTCTGACTGTGGGTGATAAGGCTTGATAACAAAATTAAGTGCAGAGAAATGACAGGAATGCCTCACTGGCTTTTCTTTTTGCTTCCACAAAATATAATCTAAGTCACCAATTTCTTGGAAGTCAGTAGTGACATAAAAATATAGGTTGTCCAAGAACATCTATAATACCTACATGTCAGAACGATGAGATCTGATTGGTCCACGTGATCTTGATAAAATACTGTGTAACCCGCCTTGGATAGGCATAAATTTCAAAGCTTGGGAATAAATCTCTTATACCCCACCATGAGCAATACAGGCTGCACATGGATTTCTGAGAAGCAGAATTAATCCCTTATCCCCACTTCAAAGCAAAAAGCTCCACGCTTTTTCTGAGTCAATGAAAGTCACGTGACAGCACAAGTTAACCTCAGCTCAATAGAACAGCTGTTTTCTATCAATTTTGAATTTCTGTTCATTCTTTTACAATGTCACATTAAAACATGTCGGTAAGATAAATTCATTGTAGCAGGATCACAGGAGGTACATCACGTTTTATGCAAAAAACCCATGTACATCTCATGATCCTGCTACTGTGATCCTGAACAACTTATAATGTTAACTGTGCCCAAATATATTCATCACGATGATCATTGCCTTACTTTCTGTGGGTAGTATAGTACAGAACACTGAGCCAACAAAACATCATACCACTACACACTCATGCAGCACAGAATATCATAGGAAAACACACTAATATGAGCACTAATCACTGTATATACAATCTTTATACTGACATTCATATTGCAATACTTGTATTTTATACACATATACCCATCTTATAATACTTGACATATCAAACTGTAGACATTATGCTCACCATTCATCCATGTGATTGACAATTGTAGCCGAGTGATAAAACTTGAAGCAACCCATACAGAGTTGCTTCCCTTAGACATGCATGGATCATGCTGGTCATCAGTTTGAGTACCAGAGCACCTTAATTATGATCGTTGGTTTGTTAGCACCCTGCTCTCTGGTTTCATCCGTGTGGGAAGCATGCGTGTCCTGTGGCACGGTGGCACGTCCTCCCACATCAAGCTGACACGTCCTCCCACATCAAGCTGACACGTCCTCCCACATCAAGCTGACATGTCCTCCCACATCAAGCTGACACGTCCTCCCACATCAAGCTGACACGTCCTCCCACATCAAGCTGACACGTCCTCCCACATCAAGCTGACACGTCCTCCCACATCAAGCTGACATGCCGAGACAGAACTTAAACTGAGGCTCTAAACCAAACTGACTCATTCCTTGTTATTAGGGGGGTCACTGTGACACTAACAACACTGGTTTCTTCCCGAGTCTCCCGGAGGTGCTGGAGCAGTAATACTACTATGTAACAGAACTCATGTCCCAGTACCTCACAAATACTGGCTTTATGACTAGACAGTTGACATTCAACTGTTCCAAACACAGTTATCTCCCCTGATACATTAACTTTCAACATTTCAAGAACACAACTGTCACCTCTCACAGAGACATTCAACATTTCAAGAACACTGTCACCTCTCACAGAGACATTCAACATTTCAAGAACACTGTCACCTCTCAGAGAGACATTCAACATTTCAAGAACACTGTCACCTTTCACAGAGACAGTCAACATTTCAAGAACACTGTCACTTCCGGGAACTATTTAATTTGAACCTATTTCCTTTTCAAAGGTTATCATTCAAACATATTCAAATATTCATAAGCAAATATAAGCAAAATGTTTTATCTCTGGCTGGTTTATCAGCCTTGTGTCAAATGTTCAAAACTGTCATGAGCATCATATAAAACACCTACCAAATAAAACTCTCACATTACAAGCAACATGAAAGGACTAAGATGTTTTTTGGATGGTGACTCATGTGTTTAGTAGGAAGCTATTTCACAAACACAACCATGGTGCTATGACAAATATCACAGACGGTTGTTTCGCACACCCAAAATCTTTACTTTACATAATTGTAGATACTGTTTATCCCTGGATCATCGTCATCGTTGTCATCGTTGCCATCGTCATCATCACAATGCCTTGATTTAGTCAGCTCCTTTACTTTAACCATACATTTAGTGGTAGTCTGTTTCATGAACAACTTGACATGAATTAATGAGTAGTTCACATCATTACAGATGAGTTCAGTATAGGCTGCAGGAGTTATATCCCTCCATGAGGCTGACACATCAAACAGGTATCTACACGGTTGTATGAACAAGTACTAAAGGAACAAACAGGAATACAGAGAACAACCTTAGTACACACATGTATTCACCCACGCACGCATGCACGCACACGCACACGCACACGCACACGCACTGGTTGATAGCATGAGTAATGATCTACGCTGTCAGAAGACAGTCAGGTCATAGTGTAGCCATCCAATCCACAGTTTAGTCAATCTTTACAGCAAGTACGGGAGTGAATACAAAACAAATCACTGCATGAGACAAAATCATCTTAGGATTTTCAGCCTACCCGGTAATACATTGTAGATTTCAACCCTAGAAGATAAGCGGGTATTTTACACAGATATTTTGACACACAATATTCTGAAATTTCAAATTTCGTTTACAACAATGTGTTCGATTATGTACATTACTGTCACAAATAGGCTTTATTGATGCCAAGTAGCCTGCACCATAATGAAAGACACTGGTATAAAATTCTACAATATATCTCACATCTATATTTCTACTCACTTTCAGTCATCATACAAATCCATATCAAACATAAACATGATTGTGTAGATGTCAGTACTTATATGTACAGCATGAGAGGAGTGTCACATCTCCAAGTACGTTGTATGCAGGGATATGGCATAAGGTTCCGAGTATGCATGGATCAATGGTCCATGATGGATCCACACCAGTCTGCCATCTCTGTGAGGACCTGACGGTCTTGTGCATAACACAGAAGGATAAATTCAGTGGATTCGACGTCTACTGCAGCATGTACGTCCATGTGTGAAATATGCATGCATTGACAAAGTCCTCAATGTGGGACTGCGTTGTGAAAACTGGTAGGTTGGGGTTGGTCGGCGTGTGTTCCTGGTCCAGCTGCGGCTCCAGGTGCACAATACACAGTTCCTGTAGGAGATGGATGGATACATTAGGTGGAGGATACATAGCTCCTGTAGGAGATGGATGGATACATTAGGTGGATGATACACAGCTCCTGTAGGAGATGGATGGATACATTAGGTGGAGGATACATAGCTCCTGTAGGAGATGGATGGATGGATACATTAGGTGGAGGATACACAGCTCCTGTAGGAGATGGATGGATACATTAGGTGGATGATACACAGCTCCTGTAGGAGATGGATAGATACATTAGGTGGAGGATACATAGCTCCTGTAGGAGATGGATGGATACATTAGGTGGATGATACACAGCTCCTGTAGGAGATGGATAGATACATTAGGAGGTGGATACAGAGCTCCTGTAGGAGATGGATGGATACATTAGGTGGAGGATACACAGCTCCTGTAGGAGATGGATGGATACATTAGGTGGATGATACACAGCTCCTGTAGGAGATGGATGGATACATTAGGTGGATGATACACAGCTCCTGTAGGAGATGGATAGATACATTAGGAGGAGGATACATAGCTCCTGTAGGAGATGGATGGATACATTAGGCGGAGGATACACAGCTCCTGTAGTAGATGGATGGATGGATACATTAGGTGGATGATACACAGCTCCTGTAGGAGATGGATGGATACATTAGGTGGAGGATACATAGCTCCTGTAGGAGATGGATGGATACATTAGGTGGATGATACACAGCTCCTGTAGGAGATGGATAGATACATTAGGAGGTGGATACAGAGCTCCTGTAGGAGATGGATGGATACATTAGGTGGAGGATACACAGCTCCTGTAGGAGATGGATGGATACATTAGGTGGATGATACACAGCTCCTGTAGGAGATGGATGGATACATTAGGTGGATGATACACAGCTCCTGTAGGAGATGGATAGATACATTAGGAGGAGGATACATAGCTCCTGTAGGAGATGGATGGATACATTAGGCGGAGGATACACAGCTCCTGTAGTAGATGGATGGATGGATACATTAGGTGGAGGATACACAGCTCCTGTAGTAGATGGATGGATGGATACATTAGGTGGATGATACACAGCTCCTGTAGGAGATGGATGGATGGATACATTAGGTGGAGGATACACAGCTCCTGTAGGAGATGGATAGATACATTAGGTGGAGGATACATAGCTCCTGTAGGAGATGGATGGATACATTAGGTGGAGGATACACAGCTCCTGTAGAAAATGGATGGATGGATACAGTAAGTGAAGTATACACAGCCCTGTAGGGGATAGATGGATATATTCTGTGCAGAACTGCTACCTTTATTCAGCATTATGGTAGGATAACATTTTCATGGTTCAGTAAACTGCTAGTACATTTTTTGAAGACTTTCCAGAACAATAAAAGTTATAGATTTAAGGGAGGATAGATAGAAGTCAGGACAGAAGACACTATATACCCCTCTGTTAACCTTGTAGACACTGAAGGTCAGGACACAAGACACTAATTACCCCTCTGTTAACCTTGTAGTCAATGAAGGTCAGGACAAAAGACATTATATACCCCTCTGTTAACCTTGAAGACAATGAAAGTCAGGACAAAAGACACTATCTACCCCTCTGTTAACCTTGTAGACAATGAAGGTCAGAACAAAAGACACTACCTACCCCTCTGTTAACCTTGTAGTCAATGAAGGTCAGGACAAAAGACACTATATACCCCTCTGTTAACCTTGTAGACAATGAAGGTCAGGACAAAAGACACTATATGCCCCTCTGTTAACCTTGTAGACAATGAAGGTCAGAACAAAAGACACTACCTATCCCTCTGTTCACCTTGTAGACAAGAAAGGTCAGGACAAAAGACACTATATACCCCTCTGTTAACCTTGTAGACAATGAAGGTCAGGACAAAAGACACTATATACCCCTCTGTTAACCTTGTAGACAATGAAGGTCAGGACAAAAGACACTATCTACCCCTCTGTTAATCTTGTAGACCCTGAAGGTCAGGACAAAAGACACTACCTACCCCTCTGTTAGCCTTGTAGTCAACGGAGGCCATCATGAACATGTCAAGGTTGTTGGGATTGAGAATCAGCTGAAAGAAAACAACATGTGTATCTTTCTTGTTTTTAGAAATAACAAATATAAATACAGTGAAAACTTATGTATGTATGTTCTGCTTATTCTCCACATAGTCAGGGCTGCTAGTGGAGCAGGTATGGTAGCTACTATATATGACATACATGCAGGAAACAGAAAGACCAACTGAGCCACCCCACAACCTTCTGGTGGCTGTTGCCACACACAATCTGCCTCTGTTGGCTGTTGCCACACAAAATCTGTCTCTGTTGGCTGTTGCCACACACTTCCACACACAATCTGCCTCTGTTGGCTGTTGCCACACACATCCACACACAAACAGCTACTGTTGGCTGTTGCCACACACACATCCACACACAATCTGCCTCTGTTGGCTGTTGCCACACACTTCCACACACAATCTGCCCCTGTTGGCTGTTGCCCCACACTTCCACACACAATCTGCCTCTGTTCACTGTTGCCTCACACTTCCACACACAATCTGTCTCTGTTGGCTGTTGCCTCACACTTCAACACACAATCTGTCTCTGTTGCCACACACTTCCACACACAATCTGTCTCTGTTGGCTGTTGCCTCACACTTCAACACACAATCTGTCTCTGTTGGCTGTTGCCTCACACTTCAACACACAATCTGTCTCTGTTGGCTGTTGCCACACACTTCCACACACAATCTGTCTCTGTTGGCTGTTGCCACACACTTCCACACACAATCTGTCTCTGTTGGCTGTTGCCACACACAATCTGTCTCTGTTGGCTGTTGCCACACACTTCCACACACAATCTGTCTCTGTTGGCTGTTGCCACACACAATCTGTCTCTGTTGGCTGTTGCCACACACTTCCACACACAATCTGTCTCTGTTGGCTGTTGCCACACACTTCCACACACAATCTGTCTCTGTTGGCTGTTGCCACACACAATCTGTCTCTGTTGGCTGTTGCCACACACTTCCACACAGAATCTGTCTCTGTTGGCTGTTGCCACACACTTCAACACACAATCTGTCTCTGTTGGCTGTTGCCACACACAATCTGTCTCTGTTGGCTGTTGCCACACACTTCCACACACAATCTGTCTCTGTTGGCTGTTGCCACACACAATCTGTCTCTGTTGGCTGTTGCCACACACTTCCACACACAATCTGTCTCTGTTGGCTGTTGCCACACACAATCTGTCTCTGTTGGCTGTTGCCACACACTTCCACACACAATCTGTCTCTGTTGGCTGTTGCCACACACAATCTGTTTCTGTTGGCTGTTGCCAGACACTTCCACATACAATCCAATCTGCCTCTGTTCGCTGTTGCCACACCAGGGGGCCGGAAAATTTAAAATCCCAATCAGACATTTGCATTTAGGCCACGTCCCCTTCAAATAGCGTATTTTAGGACGACTTTTCACACACATTACAAGTTGTTACGTGTTCATAATATGATGAATTATGAATTGTTTCAATTTAAATTGTTTAATTCACCGGACAATTAATAACAAATAATATCATTTTAGATATACATGGAAAACATACGTTTGTTTCTGTTATAATAACGATCTGTTAATGTAGTGAATGGTCTAATTAATATTCATGAGTTATATTCATGAGTCTGCTCAAGTGTACGCGTTGTAACATTTGGATCGAGACTGTTATCCCATATCCTCACGGGAAAAGTTGTTTTTTTAACTAAAGATTATTTAAAAACAAGACAGATAATATAATCACAAATACTAAAATATCGTTGATAGCAATAGTTATTTGAATACTTTTTTTAGCTGTACTTAATTATTGACCATAAAAAAATGATATCGATCGCCACAGAAAGCAAAATGGCGGTCAATCAAGATTCAATATACGCCTAGCTACTGAAAACAATAAAATCTGCAAATCCTCATTGTATGTCAACCAAGTGAAAATCGTTAGCCACGACTTACAAATGATCGTCCAGACTTTGAGGGTTTGGCAGATCTGCTCGACTGGCTGTTGTCACGCTTTCGCTTCTTGTCTGAGGTTACGTATCGTAGCATTGTGAGGATAATGAGGTACATCAATAATGCAAGGTATTTATGTACAGTTGTAAACACCTTTCACTCAAATTAACAAGATGTTCTCAGTAATTAATCCTCGATTAATCAGTGTCAACTCAGTTTATTGCCTATTACAGTGATTGACCGATTGGACTATCATGTAGGTACGATGTATTTACAGCAAACAAAACAAACAAAGCTTGTCAGTGTAGTTAATCTTCATTGTGTTACAACTGCAGACAGAAACTGCTCAGTCCTGTTGATCATGTCCGGTCAAAATTTAAGAATGTCCGGACAATACTTTTTAAAATGTCCGAACAGAAAAAATTAAATGGCTGTTGCCACACACAATCTGTTTCTGTTGGCTGTTGCCACACACTTCCACATACAATTTGTCTCTGTTGGCTGTTGCCACACACAATTTATTTTTGTTGTCTGTCTCCAGAGCCGTCATGACTTCTCACAATGTGTCTGTTGGACATAAAAAAAAGACGTAATGTCTACTCACAATGTGTCTGTTTGCCATTGCCACAGGCATCATGTCTACTTACAATGTGTCTCTGTTGGCCGTCGCCACTGATGAAGTTGCGGTGGGTGTCGGGGTACTTGTTGATGAGGACGTCAAACAGCAGCGTGTACCACTGGAGGGGCATGTTGAGGAATGGGGTGAGCTGAGGGTCGACCTCGTCCAGGGGAGTCCGGGTCACCATCTCAAGCAGCTCAAGGTACTCCTCAAAGCTGAGTCGGGCCAGATTCTGCACACATAACATAGACATCAGTGGTACATATCTGATTACGTCAAAGACGGACTACACAAATGATTAACATCATTCAATGACTGATGATAAAAAAGACTGATCACATCAATGACTGACTACAAAAAGGACTGATGACACCAATGACTGACTATATCAATGACTTATCACATCAATGAACTACTACTCCAATGACTTATTATACCAATGATTGACTACTACTATTACTGATCACATCAATGACTGACTACATTAATGACTTGTAAAACCAATGACATCTACCCCAAGGACTGATCACATCAATGACTGACTACATCAAAGACTGACTACATCAAAGACTAACCAGGTCTCGGCTCTCCTCAGTTTCGCTGCGTTTCTTCCTGCGACTGTCCTCCTCCATCACTTTCATCCGGTTCCACAGATAGTCCCGGCGACACTTCACTTTCGACAGCTCAACCATCTCTGCGATCTTGTCTCTGGCAGATAGAGTTATGCATATTCAAACACCACATATAGCAAATCCATATTCATAGTCTAACATGAAATCTGTGTATCATTGTCGGTGTCTGGCAGGCTCGTGGACTTGTTCGTTCTACTTGAAGTCTGGCTGACCCTGACCTCATGGTATCTACGGATTTCAGTTTGTTTATTAAATAGAAAATTCAACAGTGGCGACTGTTATTGGTAATCAAAGCATCATTGTTTTTCACAATATCTATAAGTAGTAATTATTGACTACCAGATCAGAACGAGATTTCTGTCATCTTCGGTACACATCAATGACAGCGGATATGTTGGAGGGAGGAAGGTCTCATAATCTCGCAGTATGGCCCTTATTACCTTTCATATTTGTTTTTCGGGTGAGCTGGTGAGCACGTGACTTTATGAAACTAAAAGATGAAGTTTTGCAAGCAGCAAAAAGTTTATGGGACAAGAACTTGTTAAATAATGATGCATTATGTACACAGGGTGAATATTCAGGTTCTACAGACACATGTTTTCACTTCCTCATAATTTTATGAGTTCGAACTTATCAACAGTTGGAACATTCTGGTAATATTAGCACTTCCCACTTACCACATCTCTGGCGTGTTGTCTATTTATAGCAAAAAAACATATTGCCACAAAATTAGGAAACTGCAAAAATAGATGGGGTCTGGTGGACTGACTGAGTCTACTTGTCACCACCTACCTCCCGGCCTGAACCTCCTTCACCAGCAGGTTGGTTTGGTTGGTTGGTTTGTTGTTTAACGCCACACTCAGCAATACTGCAGCTATATGACGGCGGTCTGTAAATAATCGAGCCTGGACTAGACAATCCAGTGATTAATATCATGAGCATCGATCCACGCAATTGGGATCAATGACATGCATCAACCAAGTCAGCGAGCCTGACCACCCGCTCCCGTTAGTCGCCTTTTACGACAAGCATAGTCACCTTTTACGGCAAGCATGGGTTGCTGAAGACCTATTCTACCCCGGAATCTTCACGGGTCTCACCAGCAGGTCATTGATGGGGGTCTGGTGGACTGACTGACTCTACTTGTCACCACTTACCTCCCAGCCTGAACCTCCTTCACCAGGAGGTCATAGATGGGGGTCTGGTGGACTGACTGACTCTACTTGTCACCACCTACCTTCCAGCCTGAACCTCCTTCACCAGGAGGTCATAGATGGGGGTCTGGTGGACTGACTGACTCTACTTGTCACCACTTACCTCCCAGGCTGAACCTCCTTCACCAGGAGGTCATAGATGGGGGTCTGGTGGACTGACTGACTCTACTTGTCACCACCTACCTCCCGGCCTGAACCTCCTTCACCAGGAGGTCATAGATGGGGGTCTGGTGGACTGACTGACTCTACTTGTCACCACCTACCTCCCAGCCTGAACCTCCTTCACCAGGAGGTCATAGATGGGGGTCTGGTGGACTGACTGACTCTACTTGTCACCACTTACCTCCCAGCCTGAACCTCCTTCACCAGGAGGTCATAGATGGGGGTCTGGTGGACTGACTGACTCTACTTGTCACCACTTACCTCCCAGCCTGAACCTCCTTCACCAGGAGGTCATAAATGGCGGTCTGGTGGACTGACTGACTCTACTTGTCACCACCTACCTCCCGGCCTGAACCTCCTTCACCAGGAGGTCATAAATGGCGGTCTGGTGGACTGACTGACTCTACTTGTCACCACCTACCTCCCAGCCTGAACCTCCTTCATCAGGAGGTCATAGATGGGGGTCTGGTGGACTGACTGACTCTACTTGTCACCACCTACCTCCCGGCCTGAACCTCCTTCACCAGGAGGTCATAGATGGGGGTCTGGTGGACTGACTGACTCTACTTGTCACCACCTACCTCCCAGCCTGAACCTCCTTCACCAGGAGGTCATAGATGGGGGTCTGGTGGACTGACTGACTCTACTTGTCACCACCTACCTTCCGGCCTGAACCTCCTTCACCAGGAGGTCATAGATGGGGGTCTGGTGGACTGACTGACTCTACTTGTCACCACCTACCTCCGGGCCTGAACATCCTTCACCAGGAGGTCATAGATTGGGGTCTGGTGGACTGACTGACTCTACTTGTCACCACCTACCTCCCAGCCTGAACCTCCTTCACCAGGAGGTCATAGATGGGGGTCTGGTGGACTGACTGACTCTACTTGTCACCACTTACCTCCCAGCCTGAACCTCCTTCACCAGGAGGTCATAGATGGGGGTCTGGTGGACTGACTGACTCTACTTGTCACCACCTACCTCCCGGCCTGAACCTCCTTCACCAGCAGGTCGTAGATGGGGGTCTGGTGGACGTTGGAGTAGCCAAGGTAGTTGACCTTCTCCTGACGGACACTCAGGTGCTGCTTGACTGCTACTGGACGGCTGGCCTCATCTGATGCTGTGGCCAGGGTGTCGAACATTCCTATAGAGAGAACAGGTTCAGTATTAAGCATGGCTGTCAGGCTTTAATGTGTTAACAAATCTTAAAGTTATACAGTTCACAACTTTGAGGTGAAACCCATGTGTATGACTACACCAAGGATGAAACTCAAGGCGGATGCTCCAGGGTTCTAACCCAGATCCCAACAGACTACACCCTCATTCATAGACGGATGCTCCAGGGTTCTAACCCAGATCCCCATAGACTACACACTAATTCATAGACGGATGCTCCAGGGTTCTAACCCAGATCCCAACAGACTACACACTCATTCATAGACGGATGTTCCAGGGTCTCTAACCCAGATCCCACAGACTACACACTCATTCATACCCAGAGATACTAATGCCATTATGTGCTGGTAAACTGGCCCATGATATCAATGTTAAAACACTGGAAGAAACAGCTTAGCTGTAATCTCACCTAATGCTGTTTTTGTTGCTGCTGATCTGAACTCTCCGATCTTCTTATCCAGAGACCTCAATGGGAAGCAGTCCTTGCGCCTGGTCAGTACCACAAAGAACTTGAGTTTGAGGATCATCAGCTCCCCCTCGGGTTGCAGGAGCCCCCGGGGGTTGTCATGGATGATGACTAGCCCCACATCGTACTCATCGGATGCCTCCATCCCCGTCACGTCCTTGGTGTCACGCTTCAGCTTCTTGTGTCGGACAAGAGCAAACTCATCTGCCTTCACAAAGATGTACTCCTGGATTAGGGTGGGATTGAAATGATGAGATGAGTCCTAGTAGTCTATGTTAGGATATGGCTGGGAGGAAGTAATGACAGTGTGCAATTTTTTAGCTTGGAAGAATGGATGACACTGGAGTGGAAGGATGGTGACAAGGACAGAAGTCAAAAGTATCGGAACTAAGTGTGACAATCTAGAAAAATCAGTTTCGGAACTGAAATCAGACATGAAGAAAATTGAAGCTGAGAACCACGTAATGCAATCTGACGTCGATGCGGTTGCTGAGACAGTGGATATCATAAATGACAAACTTTCGCAAATTGATGTTGAACTTGATAAACTCGAGTCGTTTAGCCGAAGAGATAATATCATTATCTATGGTGTTGATGAAGATGAAGGCGAAAAATCTATAGCCTGTAAAGAAAAAGCGATCGCCGTACTTAATGAAAACGCAACATTCAAAACTTGGCAACCGACTGACGTTGCACGCGCCCATCGCCTCGGTGTGAAGAAGCCTGGTAGTGAAAGACCACGACCAATAATTGCAAAACTGGTACTCTCCGACGACAAGGTACGAACATTGAAAGCCAGAGCGACATTTAAATCGAATGGACTTGGAATTGGAAGTGATTTAACCACGCGTCAACGCGAACAATTGCAAGCCCTAAAAGGAACGGGAAATTTCGGCTTCTTCAAGAATGGCAAGCTTGTTACGATGCCTCGTACGTCGGCTGACCAACGTGGATCTACAAATCAAGACTCAGAAAACCGAATGTCGGACAGACTTCGACCAAACAGAAGTAAGTCGCGCCCTGGGAAATAGCACAATGGCCATGGCCCGGATCATCTCCCACAAGGAACCTCCGATGTGCACACCGGTGATACTCGCGCTCACAGTGTTACTGATGTCAACAGAGACGCGTTCTCCTTTGTATGTTGGAATATTGGTGGTCTTCTCAGCAAAATAAATGATGTTGACTTTTTAACTTACATCAGTAAATTTGATATTGTGTGCCTTGTTGAGACTTTTGTTGTAAATATTCCAGGAAAACATTGGCTACATGGATATGATACTTTTTACTGTCCTGCAGTTAAGTTATCCAACTATGGACGTTTATCAGGTGGTATTTGTCTGTGTGTACGTCAATCACTGAGTAGTTTCTGTAATGTTATACAAGCAGATAGAGACAACATAATTGGTCTCTCGTTATCTAAAGATTTATTTAGAATTGACAAAAATGTGAATTTGTTATGTACCTATATCCCTCCAATGGGGTCTCCTTATTATAATCATGTAAACACCAATAGTAACATTGTAAAAGTAGAAGAATTCTTAATAGATAATGATGAAATGTTTTCAAATTCATACAATTTAATCTGTGGAGATATGAACGCGAGAACAGGTGAGAGAAATAACCCTGATATTAGCAATAATGATGATAGCTTCAATCACACCTCCCCTTTCCCTGAGGAGGAGGATGACCCTGTTGAGGATCGTACTTCACAGGATACAGTTGTAAATAGATTTGGTCAAATGTTGTTGGATTTATGCTATGTTTTTAAACTTTACATCGTAAATGGACGTGTATATGGTGATACTAATGGGCAATTTACTTATTGTAGCCAACATGGATCTAGTGTAAACGATTATTTTATAAGTTCACCAGATTTTTTTCAGTTTATAAATATGTTCACTGTCGGTGATCGATCTGATTCTGATCACTTTCCATTAGAATTGATGTGTAGATTTCCAAATATGGGTAAGAGGTGCAATAATGATTCATGTATGGATCCACAAGCATCAGAGAAAATTGTATGGAATGATCATTACTCCAGTTTGTTTCTTGATAACCTGAGATATAATTTTACTGAAAACAAAGAAATGGTCCTTAAAGAAATTGATAATGCTATTGAAAACGCAATTAGCCACTTTGTCGACATTGTATTAGACTCTGCTAACTGCATGAAAAAGACAATACGACATAATCCACAATTTGCCAATCACAAACCACTAAGTCTAGAATGTAGACAAGCGAAACGAGAAACACGTAGGGCACTTAGGAGATTTAGAACACAAAGAACAGTCGCTAACAGAATTGCGTACTGTAGACAAAGAAATCATTATAAATTTTGTTGCAGAAAATTTAAATCCATTTCACGTAAGAAATCAGTTGAAAGATTGCATAGAAGCATAAATAGTCAATCTAGCTTTTGGAAACAGATAAGATCATTACAAAACAAACCCAGACAGAAGAATCATATAACGAAAGCAGAATGGCTGTGCCATTTTAGAGAGGTTTTTGCAAATGACAATGTTTTTTCTCCTCACTTAGATGATGAAAATGAACTCAGTTCTAATCAGTTTACAGATATTGATGCATTCATACTAAATTCTACGATAACTGAACATGAAATTACATCATCAATAAATAAGTTAAAAAAAGGAAAATCCGCCGGGCCCGATCAAGTGCTGATAGAAATGCTTAAATGTTCCCAATTAGATATTATGCCATTTCTTCATAAATGTTTCAACAAACTCTTTGATAATCAAATATTTCCAAACAGTTGGTCTTGTTCAGAAATAGTCCCTCTACATAAAAAAGGCGATCCGAGAAACCCTGACAACTACAGGGGGATCTCATTAATGAGTGTTCTGGGGAAAATTTTTACCTCTGTTTTGAATAACAGGCTTACTAACTGGGCAAATATGAGAGATAAGATACCGGAAGTTCAAGCTGGTTTTAGAAAAAATTATTCAACCGTAGATCATATTTTTACATTATATGCTGCAATTCAAAAATGTCTAACACGTCGTAAACACAAGGTTTACGTTGCTTTTATTGATTTTAAAAAGGCATTTGATACAGTTGATCGTTATAAATTATGGTGTTGTTTAAGAAAAGCTGGACTACAAGGGAAGATGTTTAATATAATACAATCAATGTATTCAAATATCAAGTCATGTGTACGTAGTGATTATGGTGTTACTGATTTTATCGATTGCCCATCTGGTTTACGTCAGGGATGTATACTGAGTCCTCTGTTATTTTCGTTTTTCATAAGCGAATTATATTATGAAATCTCAAGTAACGGCAAGCATGGTATACAGATGTATCCTGACATCCTTGAACTTCTTATGCTCCTTTTTGCCGATGATGTTATTTTACTATCTGACACTGTTATTGGTCTACAGAATCAGTTGAATGTATTAGATAAATATACTAAGGAATGGAATTTATCTGTAAATTTAGATAAGACAGAAATTATAGTATTCAGAAAAGGGGGTCCTTTAAATTTTAGGGAAAGATGGTACTTAAATGGACAACAAATTAATGTAGTTAATGGTTATAAGTATCTCGGCATAATGTTTAATTCAACACTAAATATGAACAAATGTGTATCTGACTTATCACTGCGAGGGAAACGAGCTTTACTTAATATAATGTCTGTTTCACATAAACTTGGAGTTATTACTCCAAAAGTATTTTTCAAATTATTTGATACTCAAATACAGCCAATTTTATTGTATGGATCTGAAGTGTGGGGTTACCGAAGATATGAATGTTTAGAAAGAATTCACCTACTGGCATGTAAAAAGTTTCTTCGCGTTGGAATAGCAACACCAAATAATATGATATATGGAGAATGTGGAAGATACCCACTTTACATTAATTCACAAATAAAGTGTTTAAAATATTGGTTTAATATCATCCGTATGCCAGAACATCGGCTTCCGAAAAAAGCTTATAACATGCTCTTTCATTTAGATAGTATCGGTAAGGTTACATGGGTATCGCATATTAGGACACTATTATTCTCACATGGATATGGGTATATATGGCTTAACCAATCTGTTGGTGATCAACATTTATTTCTAAATGATTTTCGTAAAATAGCAATAAATATGTTCTATCAAGGGTGGCAATGCAACTTGGAAAATAGTTCACGTTATGATTTGTACAGAACATTTAAGACTCTATTAGAGCCAGAAAAATATCTATCAGTTTTAACAAATAGTCACCTAAGATATATTAAATACAGACTTGGCTTGTCAAAACTTATGATTAACTATGGACGGAATATATCACTTGAAAGAATACAAAGAATTTGTCCATTCTGTAACTCTGCAATAGAAGACGAAATACATTTTACCTTTGAATGTCCTTATTATGCAGAATTACGTACTAAATATATACCAGAATGTTTCTTATCTAAGACAAGTAGAATAGCTATTGTTTCTATTTTGTCATCGAATGATGCCGATGTAATGTTTAAACTGTCTTTATTTGTAAAACATGGGATGGAACTACGAAATAACATGTTGAGTGGAAATTCATAATTTTAATTACCTCACCCTAGAAAGTCCTCATGATTATCACCGATTGTTAAATGAATGTTATATTTATATAATTTTTGTTGTATCTCCCAATCTGTAAATTCTCACCCACTGTATTTATCTGAACTTGTATATGGGCCGATGGCCTTTGATACAATAAACATCTTTGACTTTGACTTTGACTGAGTGCAAGCATGGATGACAAATGAACTGTGCAGTAGAAGGATTGATAGATGGATGGACTAACGAGTGGAAGAATAAAGGAATGATGGTATGATAATAGGATAGAAGTATGGACAAATGGATTGAGGAGTGGAAGGATGCATGGATGGAAGGTCAGATGAGTGGAAGAATGACCTTGGGGACCTTGGTGTGTGGATGGATGGTTCAAACACTGGACAAGTACTGGGGACCTTGGTGTGTGGATGGATGGTCCAAACACTGGGTATGTACTGGGGACCTTGGTGTGTGGATGGATGGTTCAAACACTGGGTATGTACTGGGGACCTTGGTGTGTGGATGGATGGTCCAAACACTGGGTATGTACTGGGTAACTTGGTGTGTGGATGGATGGTCCAAACACTGGGTATGTACTGGGGACCTTGGTGTGTGGATGGATGGTCCAAACACTGGGTATGTACTGGGTAACTTGGTGTGTGGATGGATGGTCCAAACACTGGGT